TTTTTTACATACTTCAAACCCTAAAAAATACTGGAAATTTTTAAATATAAACACAAACAAGCAAAGATTTTGGGCTGACTTAAACGACCTTATAATTTTTTAAAAAGATGGTACATGTAGCAATACGCAATTCAGTGAAGCAAATGAGAACCATGTTTTAATAGTGGAGGAACGCCTTCTAATACGACTTTTCAACTTTATATACCACCATTCCCCACCATAAATTAAAGTCCAGGCTTTTTGACATCATTGACAGCTGCTTTTTCAATACAAATGTAACTCGTAAATTTACTTACCTTGTCATTGGTCATTTGCAAAATTATTTTGTTAAAAAACATTCTGATTGTACACACAAGTACTCTGAAGTTGATATTTAAAAGATGCGTGAGTTTCTGATTGACAATATCTATGTGGTTTTTGAAGACCAGGTCTTTCAGCAATCTATTGGAATTCTCATGGGTACCAATTGCGTCCCGTTATTAGCAGACCTATTTTTGTATTCATGTGAAGCAGAATTTGTTCAAAATCTTCTACGTGAAAAGAAGAAAACACATGTTGTGGCCTTCAACTCGACATTTATATATATCGACGACGTATTGTCAATTAACAATGGTCATTTCCATTCTTATGTCCATACGATATATCCCGGTGAGATTGAAATAAAAGATACCACAGAGTCTGACACATCTGTTTCATATTTGGGTATTTTATTAGAAAAAGACTTTAATGCTAATCTAACAACAAAGCTTGATGATAAACGTAATGACTTTAACTTTTCAATCGTAAACTTCCCTTACTTATGCAGCAATATACCCTTAGCACCTGCATACGGGGTTTATATCTCTCAGTTGATTCGATACGCAAGAGCTTGCTGTACGTATGACCAATTTCTAAAAACGAGGTAGGTTATTGACAAACAAGTGGTTGAAACAAGAATATCAACAGTCTCGTTTAAAGTCATCATTTCGTAAGTTCTATGGTCGATACAATGACCTTGTCAGCAAATACAGTCTATCATAAAGTCAAATGCTGACTGACGTTTTTCATACTAATCGTTAGGCCATTACTTACACACTGAATTGTCGACGGATTTTCCCGTTATTTCCTGATCATGACAAGGAGCACACGGCGGGTGTGACCGGTCGGCAGGGGATGCTGACTCCTCCATGGCAACTGATCCCACTTCTGATATTTTAGTGTTTAGTGTTTGCTCTGCTCCAAAATTTGTATTGTTTAATGGACTTTTGAGCTTGAATACTGTTCGTTATTACCATATATTCCATCTGATATGCAATTTAATCACTATACTAATCAACAAATTTACACATGATGAAGTTTTTTTTAAGTATTAGTTATTGAAAAATAAATCTAGTGGTGATGCCAAAATTATAAATGAGTACATTAAGAGTACATCTGACTGTTTATTGAATTTGTATGTAGAGTTATTTAATTGAATATTTGATTCTGGAATGATTCTCTGACAGTGGACTTATGGCAATATAATCCTAATATATAAAAATAAATGTGATAGTTCTGATCCCAATAATTACAGACCAATAACATTGATAAGTTGTTTGGGAAAATTGTTTACTGCCATTATCAACGAGATCTAAACTACATAATTATGCTGACAGAGCCCAACTTATGTTAGAGAACCAAGCTGGTTTTCGAAAAGACTTCTCTACTCTGGATCATATTCGAATAGGTCTCTGGAATAAAATTTTATTAAATAATAAATAAATATTAAATAATATAGATTGCAACTATTTTAAGGTTATAACCAATATGTATAAGGGTATTAAATCAAGAGTAGTAGTTAATGGAGCATCATCAGAAATGTTTTCATCTACTGTTGGAGTAAGACAAGATGAAAGTTTATCACCATTTTTATTTGCACTTTATTTTTAAAAATGATCTTCAAGGATTTTTGTTTAACAAAAATGTAAAAGGTCTAAAAAAAATTTATCTGAGAAAACTGAAGATGAACTGAAGATATATTTACGGCTTTATGCTTTACTTTATGCAGATGCCACTTTCTTCAGAATCCCCTGAAGATCTTCAGTATCAGCTTGAGATGTTCTATGAATACTGGACTAAATGGCACTTGAAGGTTAATAGTACTACATGTGTATCAAAAATTGTTATATGTGGCAAATGTAAAATAAGTAATAATATTTAATATATTCAATTTGAATATCAAGGAAATGTATGAAAAAGCTACGATAGCAATGTTTGGTGTTCTTGGAAAATGTGGAAAACATAATCTGTCAATCGATTGTAAATTAGATATTTTGACAATACATGTATAATGAAACCAATTCTGTTATATGGTTGTGAAGTATGGAGTTTTAGTAATATCGCTCTAGTTGACAGACTTCATTTAAAATTTTGTTTACATATACTAAACCTTAGGTCTTCCACACCAAATTTTATGGTATATTGAGAACTTGATAGATGCCCTTTGAGCTATTAATATTAAAACTCTTACGATTTCTTTCTGGGCAAAACCTGGATCACAAAGTACTAAAATGTTATCAAAATTATTTATTGTGTTAAAAAATTATAATTCACGATGGTGTAACGCTGTTAAAAATATTCTGAATGATTGTGGACTTGCTTATGTATGGCAACAAAACTCTGTTCATGGTTAAAGAAAAAAGTGCATAATGTTCTTGTAGATCAATTTAAGCAAATGTGGTAGAGTGACTTGTATAATTCACCAAAAAGTCTTAATTATAGATTGTTTAAAAAAATCATTTACTTATGAAAAATACTTATTGAATTTACCTTCTAAACTTTCTATGAATATTGTGTTTTTAGAACTGGAAATACTAAGCTTCCAATTGAAACAGGAAGATGGTATAATAATGCAAGAGAAAAAAGAATTGTCACTTGTATTAATATAAGGAAATAGGAGATTAATTCCATTATTTATTTAAATGCACTGATCCACACATTCAGAATTCTAGACTCGCATGTCTGTCCAAATATTATTGTACAAATCCTAATGTTTTTAAGTTTGAACAATTATTTAATTTGAATAGCAGAATTCAACTGATTAAGCTGTGCAATATTATTGAGATTATGATTGAGAGATTTGGCTCTCTTGGTTTACAACATTGTCTTTTTTTCACTGCTTTTCTTTTATTTTTTTTTCTCCCTCATGCATGCTTTATTGTAAATATTTCATGTTTGTAATATCCCCTCTATACTGTTGTTACAGTTTATGAGAATAAGCTATTGTTTAATGTCGAAGGAGCAACTCCTCTCAAAGAGTTCAGGTAAATATAAAATCTATAAAGTTTTCTGAACACATATACTGAGATAAATTAAGACAATGTTAGTTATTTTTAGAAAAATAAATTGTTCACCAACGCTTTATAGCGCAAGATACACCTTGACTGTGATACTGAAAAGTTTCATTAAATCTACTGGAGCTTTAATCAAGATTTAGAAAACAAAGAGTATAACCACAAAGATCTGTGGTATAATTGTCAAGGTATTCAACTGGTCTATCTCAATGACATCAAACAGTGTAGTAGTTTACATGAGTGTTTATTTAGTCAAAATACGTATCCCAAAGACCCAAAATTTTAGGTGATATGCCAAAGTCTCACCCGACACATCATTAATTATTTGCAGAAAAAAAATAAAAGAAAGGGGGAAAAAAAAGAAAACTGAACTGCAAGAAGAAACTTACTTAGTTTAATTTCCCATCAAATCCCAACTAGGATGAAGATATCTGTGCTTCTGACAGCAGTGCATGTATCCTGATTTTGGTGGATAGGGTAGATAGAGAATAAATCCAATATGAGGGTACACCAGCGAGAGGCCTCTAAAGTTTGGACAGTTACTGACCTGCTATATACATATATATACCTATACAATCATCTTAATCACATTATTATGGAACGCCATAGCTGCCTTATGTCTTTATTTCATGTGAAGATGGTGCTCTTTTATGTTATGCTGTGGTTATTTTGTGTGAAGATGGTGCTTTATTATGTTATGCTGTGGTTATTTCATGAGAAAATGGTGCTTTTTTATGTTATGCTGTGGTTATTTCATGAGAAGATGGTGCTTTTTTATGTTATGCTGTGGTTATTTCATGAGAAGATGGTGCTTTATTATGTTATGCTGTGGTTATTTCATGAGAAGATGGTGCTTTTTTATGTTATGCTGTGGTTATTTCATGAGAAGATGGTGCTTTTTTATGCTATGCTGTGGTTATTTCATGTGAAGGTGATTTTTTATGCTATGCTGTGATTATTTCATGTGAAGGTGGTTTTTCATGTGAAGGTGGTTTTTTATGTGATGGTGGTTTTTCATGTGATGGTGGTATTTTTTGTGATAGTGGTTTTTCATGTGAAGGTGGTTTTTTATGTGAAGGTGTTTTTTTTTAAATATTTTATGTGAAGTTGTCACTCGGAACTCCTCATACTTTTTGAAGACTTAGTTTAACACTGAGTTTAACAGCTATTATCTCGAAATTTTGATAGTGAAACAAATAGTCGATGTAATTCAAACCAATTTAATACACCCTTGGTAGTTCCTCTTTTTTTCCATAGGCACTTGGTTTCAAAATGGTGTATTATGTAGTAGGTGTGTCTGAATACACTCAAAAACATAAAAATAAAAAAAAAATCACTGAAATTAGCACATTTAAAAAATGTCGTATTACTCTATATAGTTAGAGTGTACCCTGCCCGAAACTGGTAAGAAAAGTGTAGATATTGATTAAAAAAATATAAAATTAAATCAAAAAAATTAAATTAAAAAATTATAATCATACCAGCATAAATATTTGCAAGAATATTACAATTGACATAAATAATAGAATATTGAAGTGTAGCCACTTCAATTTTCTATAATTCTTGTCAATTTTAAATAAGAAAAAGACAAGTACAATTTAATCCACCAATATCTTTACTCATAAAGGTTTTGAATTGAGTAATTATTTCTTTTTGAATATTATTGTTTTGTGACACGTAAGTCTAGAAACTCATCGTCATTTCAAAATTCCATGTTATGTGGAATTTTTTTATAAGAATAAAAAATGTAACACACTAAGACACAATTTCCATACTAATTTGTTGTTATGTTAGAGCGTAAATCTATTTTGAAGTCTTGTTTTTATTTCCTTTTCGACGCCATGTTGTCATCCAAAATAATTCTTTGTTTTAGATTGCATTGATCACGTTGATTTGGAACACATTCAATTTTTATTCTTCAAATCACTTTAACTAGCAGCTTCCGTGTCTTGTAAGTGAGCCAAGCCAAAGATCAAATGTATTTCCTATGTTCTCTTAGACGCTTGAAGGAAGTGTTCGATTGGAATTACAACATTTCTCTGAGTCAACCAAAGAGATAAACGTCATCCTCTCCCTTCAGTTCAGGGAATTCCTCGTCTGTCATCGCCAGCATCTTTATGTCTGATATCAAGTTCATCAATCTTGTTTAAAAAAAAAACAACACAGAAATAAGTCAGTTTTACGTGTTTGAATTTATGATTGGTAGGAACACCCGACTTCATCATGATGACGTATTTTCATCAATATATCCATAATCTCTAATAGAACTGTTTTTAATTTAACTCTCATGGTGTTTTACCCTCCAATTTACTCCTACGAATAAGATGTGTTTTACGTAATCCAGACTGTTATTTGTTCAACAAAAGTAATGCAAAAATATACAAGCTTTATAGTTTCGTTCCTCGATTGGTTATCTTTCAATAAAAGAACTATATTTGGCATTTAGTGCCAGCTCTTACCTTGATTATGTACAGTACTAAAGATAAATTTATAGTTAACTTTTCAGAGTTATAGATCTATGTTTACACATTATTTACTACTGTTATGCATCCAATGCTAGATCTCAGCTTTATTACAATATTAGATCCATATTTATGGAGGGTCATCGTGTTCAAAAATGCAGACTAGTATGTTTGTAAATCCAAACTTGTAAGTTTGTAAATCCAAACTTGTAATCGTATCAGTTTCATAGTCTACATATGTACGTAGGTAATTCCGACATCCTAGGATGTAGTTCCGAACATACAACTGTGTTGACTTTGAATTTATACTATGAATGTGTGTGTTTTTGATGTTGTAAACTTGGTTTTCCGGAATTTATATTTCCGCGCTCTGAATAAAACACAAAGGCAATTGACAAGTCTACAAATGTAAAGTCTACATGATTGTCGAATTTTGATAATGAGAAACTATGGAGGGGCATCAGTGCCACAATTATTTTTAAATGTTCTTATTTTCTTTTTTATTATAACTTTTTGTTTTCCAAATCAAATTCTTCATTTTTTATTTCTTATTTTAATTCTTACTTCTTGAAGGCGCGGATCTAGAAGGGGTCCGGACCCCCCCCCCCCCCTGAAATTTGCAGACTTATTAAATGTTTATACTAAACGAACTAAAAGTGATCTTGCCCCCCCCCCCTTTCGAAAACGCTGATCTGTGTTAAGTTGACGACTAGTCCCCCCCCCCCCCCCAAACACACACACACGCGCGCGCGCGAAATAGGTTTTTCATGCTTGGGAAAGGAGTTTACTTTTTTTTTTTTGCTTGTTAAGAAATATCTGGGTTGGATTTTTTGGGACTGGGATGGAACACCCCCCCCCCGGAAAAAATCCTGGATCTGCGCCTGTTTTTGTTTATATTTTCCAGTTTTATTTTATTTTAATTATTTTATTATGGCAATTTTGATTCCTTTCGAATTTTGATTCTATCTTAAAATTTCAATTATGTTTCACTTCACCTAACTTAATACTTTTTTTTGGTAACAACTACTAGCAAAATCGAAAGATTGTTTAAGAAGGTAGAACTTACAGAGTTAAATTAAGAGATCCGAGTAAAATTTAAACGAAAAGGGGCGCCACGGCCTTTTATGTACAGGTACATAGAGATCTTGGCGAACAGTCTAGCTACGAAACGTAGAAATATTTCCCTGGAACAATTTTTTTTTCATTTTAAACCATATGATATCATTCTTGCCTGTTCTCTCTCGTTTTCAGGCCCGTAGGAAGCATTTTCATTGGGTGGGGTGGGGGTGGAGCAGTGTGCACAAAACAAAAATTTATTGATAAGCCCCCCCCCCCCCAAAAAAAAAAGAAATGACACATTCCTGTTGAGGGGGCATAACGATAAATTAGCCTTATTTCTTTTCTTATGTATTTACCGACAAAGTATTGAGGGGACACAATCAGAAATTGCCTTTTTTTATTGGTATAGTATATACTGGCACTCTCACCCCACTCGCTGCCTATGGACCTGGTTCGGGGTCATAAAACTTAGATGAGCTCACTTTTAATCCCAGTCTCTCTTTTCTACATACTATTAATTCCTTTGGTAAACGCGAGACTTTGATCAAAAGTGAGCCCTTCTAAGTTTTATGGCCCTGGAGATATATGTTTCAAATATGATAAATATGACCGCCATTTTTGATTGCCCGCTTATGGTACACAAATATCAGGTATCTTTAAATTGATATTGTCATCATACTCGTATTATTTTTTTAAAGTAGGACATAGAATTTTTTTTACTATTAACAAATCTCAGGGCCGAAGTAGAAGGGAGCGAAAGGTTGGGCTCCCAACTTTAACTTTTTTGTGTGGAGAATAATCTTTTGCAGCTGTTTTGATATGAAAATTCATTTATAGGCTGTATGCCCAACCATCCACCCTCCTTATTTTGCAGTATCATTAAACTCTGGCAAATTCTTGCGTTGGAAAAAAGTGACTGAAAAGTTAAAGAAATCCTAAACATCGCCTCCCACGAAGGAGGAGTTTTGGCAGTTCATTTATTTATTTTTTCATCGTCAATTTTTTTGGAGCCCCCCCCCCCATTCGATAAACATTGATACGGATCTGCATCTACTGAGTGTTTTTTTTTTTTTTAATATGATATCATTGCAGTTACATTAGTTCTTAATAGCTTCGTAGGCCATGGGAGGGTAAGAGTTAGCTTGTCCTAAATTCCTAATTCCGGCCGGCAAAATGTAAGACGTTTAACATGCAAGTTGGTAATGACTATTCCTTCGGCATTGAAAGTCAAATTGAATGATTTTTCGGTTGAGACCTTAAAAACTGAAGCCCCTCTAGATTGCATAAGCCGTGAATAAGCGGGTAATGATTCATGTCACATCGTCAAATGAAATAAAATTAAGAAGATAAAATAAAATTGGAACATTTCAACGAAAAATTAGAATTAAAATTAAATAAGAAATTCAAATGAAAATATTAATATAAAATTGGAAGTTGGAATTAAAAAAAAGAAATAAAATCTAAATAATTTATTTCAGTTGGAAAAAGAAGTTAGAATAAAAAAAAGGGGAAATGTGGCACTGATGCCCCTCCATAGTTTCTCATTATCAAAATTCGACAATCGTGTAGACTTTACATTTGTAGACTTGTCAATTGTCTTTGTGTTTTATTCAGAGCGCGGAAATATAAATTCCGGAAAACCAAGTTTACAACATCAAAAACACACACATTCATAGTATAAATTCAAAGTCAACACAGTTGTATGTTCGGAACTACATGCTAGGATGTCGGAATTACCTACTTACATATGTAGACTATGAAACTGATACGATTTCAAGTTTGGATTTACAAACTTACAAGTTTGGATTTACAAACTTACAAGTCTGCATTTTTGAACACGATTACCCTCCATACATATTTACCTCTCAGTGTCGATATAAGTTTGCCATTAATTCTTAGATTGATGACTGTACTATGCTTACTTTACGGTAATAGATATATGTTCAGTTTTCAGTTCAAGGTCTATTTTCTATTCATTTACCTTTCGGTGTTAGATCTGTGCTCACTTAGGATACCTGCCGTGACTCCTTTCCTATAAATAGATTATTAACTGAGATTTAAGAGTTGTTTTTATCTCTGGTAGTTATTAAATAAATCTTGATTTACAAAAGTAAAGTTGAGTTGGCAAAATCAAATTAATACGTATATTACATAAAAAATGATAGTCCTTGTAAAACTCGGATAATTAATTGAACGTTAACTGGTACTATTATAACAAGCAGTAAATAAGCATTATCGTACAACTACAAATTAAGACTCCTATACAATAGCATATTCAATATACCCCCAGTATCACGTAACAACTTTAGTTAAACTTAATCGGTACATGTATATTTCAATAAAACGATTTAGAAATCATATCTCAGATATAGTGTACATGTGCGATGTATTTGAAAATTGCAGTATGAAAAAGGTTAAGATAACAAACAGTGGTCCAGCTCGAAAAAACCTACAAACAATTCAAATCTGTGAACAGGACATAAAACACGGACCCCAAAATTTCCAGAGTTGGGATCAGGTGCCATGGAGAAGTAAGCATCCCCTGTCGACCGGTCACACCCGCCGTGAGCCCTATGCATTGATTTTTATTATTATCATTATTATTATTATTTTGGAAGATTTAGTTGAAAAGCATCGTACGGATTATAGAAGTTATGACTTCAGTCAAATCCTTCAGAATTAGAGTATCCCAGGGTAAAGAAATACCTGAACATTTAATTGTTCTAACATGAATTTTTATTTTCCAGTCTGCTATCATTACTTATTTCTGCACTTTTGCCATACATCAGATTCAATAGTCATTAAATATTGAATTGTGAACAATAATTAAATACAAGTAGGCTGTAATCTTTCATTTTGTGTTTCTATAATTTTCTCAATTTACGTACAGCATTTGCTCAAAATGGTGCAGGGCACAATGAAATGGAGAAAAGGCAACTAACAGCTTATTTTTAAGCTTTCACTTGTACAATGTATCTATTTTAGTGCATTTTTTATCATTCCATCAGAAATAATTAACTTTAAATGAATTTAAAGACTATTATTTATAATGTACCCTGATGCTAGAAGATTCCTCGGCTTCAGCGAATATGTAGATACCTAAAAAAAAAAAACACAAAAATATGCATAAATGAAGAAAATTAAATTAAAAGATGTAGTGTCTATGAGTTGGAATAATTTCAACTTTTAAGGAGACATCCAAAGTTGAATATACTCACAAACACGATATCTTCAGTAAATTTATTTCGTATATTCGTTATACTTGTGAAGTATATCTCCAAAGTGTTAAGTTTTTCCTGGCAATGGAAGTAGTTCCTATAAATTTAAAACACATGGGCATTAGTAACATTGTTTGCATTCAAACTTTAGTTTATTTTTCATTTCATAGAGTTAATGCGATTAAAGACGTTAAGAAATTTGAGGTTCATACCTAATCCAGCCCCGTATATGTTGAACGATATCATCTTTAAAGGGGTTAAATGCAGAATTCCATTCGTAAGTTATACATCTAAAAACAGTCTGTAAATGATGCCTGTAAATGCAGAAATTATGTTCTCTAATGTTCAATTTAAATAACCAATCATCGAATGGAAAAAAGGATAATAAAGCAAAAAAGTTATGATTTCTTTTGAAATTCTTCCATAACTAAGTGTTTCTGATCCATTTGTAGTGCAAGGGATTCAAAAACACTTGGCTAGCAAAGAGCAAATGCAAGATCTTGATGGATAGAATCTTGAATCATTGCTAATCAAATTTCGATTTTGACATTGTGCGCAAAGGTATTAAGTTTGTTTTTGATTATCCTTTCTGCTTACCGCTCTGCCTTTCGGAGTTGATTTTCTTCAATGCTCACATTTCCAAATTTTCTGTCACGCATCTGTCTCCAAATCTTGTCCACTTTATGAAAGTAATGAAGTGCTTTTTCTTTTCTATTAAATCAAATATATCTATCTCTCATTTTCACACACTGCTAGAGATATCAATTTCTCAAAAATCCACAAAAAAGTAATACAGAAATGCATTCAACTATAACTTACATTTCGTTGAATTTAGATTCATTAGTATTCCAGTATGTACCATCCTGTAGCGATGTAACCGTGGACCTTAGGTTGGTGTACAATGATTTGATTTCCTGCCGTAGTTTTCCTATCTATATTTAAAACATCGAATTACTATTAAGCTTATAAAAAAATCTTGATCATAAAGAAAGTGTTACTCTCAGAATTTTTCAAAAGCGTCATGAAGAGCTATACATAGCTGCCTTGCCGACGACACGGCCGACTCAAGAATTCAAAAGGAAATCACCTGTTACTATTTATAGATATATCTTTTCAATTCCAGATCAACCTATGTAATATCGCTTATGGATAAGTGTTATATTTTCATAGTTGCAAGTATGTCATATAACAATCATTTTACATGATCATTACTCTAATTTCGAGACAAGAAAAAAGTGTAACGTGTTTATTAAAACGGTTTGAAATTATGTTTATTATAAAACGTTATCAAGAAAACGTAGAAAAGATATACAAAGAAAATTTGTTTTAAAAAAGGCATAAATGAAAAATGTACAGCTCGAACCCTGAATCACATTTATACAACTATACCACGAAGTCATTGATGTCGACTGGATCAATTTAAGAAAGATTGATTAACCTTAAAGTAATATGTGAAGGAAAATTGAATATATTTTTTATCATTTTCAATATGAAGACCACCTTTATCCAATTTTTTTTAAACGCAATGAAGTGCAGTCATATCCAAATAAAATTATTCAAATGTTGTTTTCTTGTTAAAGGTGGTCTTTGGCAAGAGTTTGTTATAGTTTAGGTAGATACCTCAATATTTCCTTTTTACTCCATACAAAACTCGATGATTTTCATACTCATCATATAAGGGAATTATTAACATTGAAAAAACATTATTGTGTGATTTGAGTTTACAAGTGTTTTAACTAAGAGTGTACAAAAAAAAAATGGTAAAAAAATGTATTTAAGAAACTATTAGAGTAGGTAAAAATGCCTATCAAATGGCTCTTCATTACCATTCTATTTAATTATAAAGACATACGTGTTTTTTCCTTTGGAGAGCGTCTCGTCTTCTTTTCTCTACATAATCAGCCATGGACGGATCTAATGGGAGTGTTTGACACAAATTCAAACGGTCTGAATCGGCTGTAAACAGTTCATCACAAGTTCCGAGTTTTTTCTCGTATGTTGAACACATTTTAACCAGAGAATCTCTACAAAACAGCCAAACAATTAATAATTTTCAGGTTACATACATTAGTTGATTCATTTATTGACATGATTGAGAAGAAAGAAAATGAATAGAAATTCAGCATATATATATTCTGTATCTTCTTAGTACTTACACTATGTTGTGGACGGTCTGTCGAAGAACATTTATAATTGAACAGAAATGCTCCGTCATTGTCATGAATATCCAAGCTGTGGTCAACTGTTTTCTGATCTGCTTTCTGTCATCCACCCCATTGACAGAATCCGGACAGGAAGGATCAGCTGTATTACAAAATCAGTACAATATATATATGTATATATATATATATATAGAGAGAGAGAGAGAGAGAGAGAGAAAGCTTTCAAAATTGGCATGGTACCTTTTGGAAATCTTAAACATTTATTCATGTTTATTTATTCATACTTTGAATATATAGAAAGCATTAAATTCTAAACCTTTTCAAATCATTGTTTTTCAATAAGTAATTGAGTATTCATCAGAAAAAAGTTATTTTTTATGTAGATGTAGCTATGCATTTTCTATATATTGAAATGTTTAAGTTTATACAATTTAAATATGTTATTATAATTGTATATGTTTCTGGAAGTCATTAAACCTTCGTAAATATAAATCTGACTTACGTATCATAGTGTCTGCACTGGACCATTCAGAGGGCTTAAAAGTGGAGGCCATTAGAACGAGTGGTCTCTCCTTTGAAGATGTCGGTAAAGCAGTCACGGAGTCATTACAATTCATTACAATATCACTCAATAAACGACCATCGTAATAAATACACGATTTTATTTCTGATGTGCCTATACCCATTTCGTCTGATAAAGACTTCAGAAATCCGTTAATGCTGAAAAACATATTATTATGATTATGCGTACCATTTGATGATTATTTGGTATAAAAACATGGAGTATAATTTGATAAAATGTCTTTAGTACTTCAAATTCGAGAAAGAAACCGTTTAACTTCTTTGAATAGAATAGTTTGTCTTTTATAGATTGTAATTTAAGTTGCATCTAAGAAACTGTAACAGTTTGAGATTGAAATTGTAAAAAGTTTCATCGCAGAAATTAATTAATAGAGGAAATCAATATATTTTACACACGTTCGAGTGGATTCTGTATAAAAATGGTAACACGTTAAGGTCTGTACTTCTAAAACCACTTGGAGTTTCAAGCTGCTCACGTGACTAGCTTCCTGACAAAAAGTATCAAGTGTCCACTGTGACGTATCTGTTCTCAAAAGACCCCGGATAATGGAGACCATATACTTCCTCAATCCCCTGAAAAGAAATCGTCTTTTCACTAAAAAGAGCCTAGCTGCTGCATCATAAATATATCTTGTATACAGACAACTTTGAAAATTGAGTTTGATTTCCTTTGGTATAGATTGGATAGTAAAAATAGTTTTCGTTTAGTTTAGTTTAGTTTGCAGTTAATGTCTGTCTTCAGTATATTCCTACAAATGTCATGAAATAAGAAACAAAATAAATATAATAACGCTCATGACAGAATTGTATTTTAATTTCCCTTTTTTAATTGGTAGCATTTACTAATTTTTTACTCACCTAGAAATGTTACAGTAACTAGGAATTTCTTCATAATATTGGATCCGCCCATTGGGCGTATCCTGTCGACCAAATATCGCTTTATCTGGTTTTCTAGAGATCATTATAAACCTAGAATGAAATAATGAATTTATCTAATCATTACTATAGTTTACTGATAATAATAAAATAAAATTTCGAATCACAACCGTGCCAGAATTTGTATCAAGGCAAAGCTTTGACATTTCTGTTTCATTAAACGGCATCAAGGATCTATATTCATGTGTTGTTTTTTTACTATTCTTAAGAAGTCATTTAAACTTTCAAGTGGTTTCACAGTTAGAAAGTTTTTGTACTATAATCCTCTTATCTCATATTTCGATCTAGTGATATCAGGAAGTAAAAAGAATATTGACCCGTGCTCTTGGTTACATAATATTTGGTAGTTTCTATTTTTAACGTCAATGTAAGAATTAACAACATGTTCCAAGGAAAACTGAACTGAGAGTGTACATGGTTCATCTTATGTAATTCATTGTATGTCATGCTCATGTGCATGTACTGTACAAGTATATAGAGTATATAGTAAACACATTTACTGAATTTGTTTTCGAATAATAGATTATACAATGTTATTTATATATAATAAACCCTAAACCATTGCAGAAGTGTTCATATAATTTTACAGAAGGAATTGTTTAAACTCTGAAGAAAATGAGCATTAATTGACTTTGTTAAAGTCACGACTTCAATAATTCACTATATATATGCTAGGAATATTTACACGTGATGTCCTAAGATATATGTGTAATGGTATACCACAGTAAAGCTTTTTTTTTTTCTCTCTTGAGAATCTCTGTTTCGGAAATCTCAAATGAGATCTTTACATTTCATCCAATATACAATGTAAAACTAACATTTCGTTTCGGTTCTTTCGAGATCCCTCGAATGGCTTGAAAGGGACTTCTCCCAAAACCACGTGAGCTAAGGTGGCACCAAGACTCCAGAGGTCAGTTGAAGACGTAAAACGTCCCCGTAACCCACGGTCAATAAACGCCCGCTCGTAAATAATAGGGTGCTATAAATAAAATTAGAGAATTCTAGTTTTACTGTCATTACAATGTAAAATCAATTTGTTTCATGGTACTTATAATTATCTACTGCCGAAATATGGCTGAAATATTGCCGACTCGGCGTAAAACAACAATAATCAATCAATCAATAATTATCTTAATATTAAACAAGACTAGTGTTGAAGAATATATCACACTGTTATGCACTGTATTACAACATTTCACAATAATTTTTTTGAATGAGGAACCATTGTTTCTTAAGATAAAATCATAATTATAAGGTTTTCCAAATTCTTTTATGTAATGGGCGTTTTCTTTTCCTTATTAATAATTATTTTTAGCCCCATACCTAAGTGTAAGAAACCAGGGAATTCTTACCAAATATTCCTCTGTTCCTGTTAGAGACTCGTACTCGTTTGATTCTTGTACGTACTTAGACGATCCAAAATCACTCAGTTTAAAGAGCTTCCTGTATAATTTATCAAATATAATTATCATTACGCTTTTAGATATTCGTGTCAATTTATGTCTGCATAAAGCTTTACAATTGACCTTTTTTCAATAATTAACGGGTTTATTTTATAGAAAAGTGTGAAGTTTGCTCTTTGGCTCAAGGTATAAACAGAATAAAACCATGTTCAGTCTCAAAAAAGAATGTTCTATCGATATGTATAAGTCTGTATCCTCTTGATTCAAATAGAAAAACCGCCTCTTCGTTACGATAGGATTTACTAAAATTAGCGCATCACAGGACAACATCGACTATTTTTACTTCACGGATTTTACAAATTGGTTGATTACAGCTTCCTTAATTAAATTCTATTTTTTACCTTCCTAGTTCCGTTTCGGAGACAAGTATATTTCCGGGTTTGATATCTCGATGAACAAAGCCCATAGTTGTCAGGTATTTCAATGCGGATGCTGAAAAGGGAAGTAAATAGTCACATGCATCGTGTTTGATGCGTATACCTCAGGTGTTACAACACAAGCAATTCGAACAGCCCCGTTTCTAATGAACAAGAAACCCATGGATAACAAGTCAATATGATACAAGGGTTTTTTCAGTTGATATTGTGTTTCAGATACAACCTACTGTGAAACAAATTTGAAGGTTACGATTTGAATAATACAGCTAGATCATGACTTTAACACAATGATATGTATACTGTATAAATGTTTAGCATATCACTTTAGCTGACTACAGTCGTAACAAATAAAATTACGATGTGTTTCAATGTATCCATACACTGATGAATTGAAGAGACAAGAGCCTTTGATCCCTGATAATCAGAGACTTAGAGTACATTATTAATGAAAAAAGTGAAGATAACCAACAATAATCGATCTCAAAAAAATCTACTAACAATACAAATCTGTGAACAGGGCATAAAACACGGAACCCCGGATATTCCAGAGGGGGATCAGGTACCTAGGAGGAGTAGGCATCTCCTGTCGACCGGTCATACCCGCCGTGAGCGCCCTATGTATTTATCAGGTAGACGGAATATTCCGTAGTCAAATTTAGTACAAAACTAAAGGTTTAAATATAGGTATGAAAGACATCAACCAAACTTCGACCAAATGATAGGTTATATTTGCTAACAAGGTCATTATAATGACCATAGAATTTACGAAATGCTGACTCTAAGGGTTGTTGAAATCACTTTAACATCAACTTATCTGTCAGTAGTCTGCTTCAGTTTGAAAGTTGAACGTGATCTAATTTCAATGTTAAAGTGTAGAAGTATTCTACACTTTTACATTGAAATTAAATCACGTTAAATCAAAATGTATGTATTTTGCTATAAATCTGCAATATATATATAGTTCTTATTAGAATTTGAAGACTGTTCACTAACTTTATTATACAAATATGGACTCAATATAGGTCAATGTGCATTTATAATGACCAAGGATGACAGATATTGACCGAAGACACATGGAGTATATCGAACGAGGGCGCTACCTTCCTATATTACTGATGAATGTTATAGTGAGGATATGTTAACTACCTATATTACAGATAAATGTTATGGTGAGGATATGTTACCTTCCTATATTACCGATGAATGTAATAGTGAGGATATGTTACCTACCTATATTACTGATGAATGTAACAGTGAGGATAGGTTACCTACCTATATTACTGATGAATGCAATAGTGAGGATATGTTACTTACCGATATTACTGATGAATGTAATAGTGAGGATATGTTACCTACCTATATTACTGATGAATGTAATGATATCATTATCGTGAAGTCCATTGTGATTTTCCGGTTCCTCTAGCAGGCTCAGTACTGATCCTCGTGGACAATATTCCATTACAAAAACCGTTCTTTTACTATCAACCTACAGTTTTAAAAAACCATTCAACCAATTAAATGTAAATATAATATAATATACATGATACTACAAAAACCATTCTCCCATTAACAACCTATAAGATTGAATAATGTACTGCAAACAACATTCTATCCCTATCCATTTTCTACAGGAGAAATTTAAACTTATTAGAATAACAATTCGACCACTATTAACCTCCAACAGAAGAATATAAAATGTTATATACCTCTGCTTGTATATCGTACAATCTGACTATATTGACATGTCGTAGTGTAGTTAGTGCAATCGTCTCTCTTTCCAGCTCTAACGCTGTATTTCCGCTTCTGGGAACTTTGAATGCATATATTTCACCAGTAGTCTTTCATAAATAAAAATATGAATTATAATTACTAATTACTGACGACTAAAATAGATGACGAATTGTCTATAAGGACAAGAGTGGTTTGAAGTAAGAAATCGTTCTATTTCATATTTTTATTGTCGTTTTGACCAAAAGAATCTAGGAGCCGAATACTGTGCTTTATGAAAACGTTTGTGCAGAATGTACTGAATATTGTCGATATACAACAATTAAGCAGACCCTTAAATAAAAATTTAAAAACCAAGTGCTATTTTTTTTAATCTTATGGACTTTAATACACTGTAATGTCGAGCAATTAGAATAAATCGAAAATGAAACAAATTCAATCAGATTTTTAACAAATTTATTTTTCTTCGAACGAAAATAAATAAAAGTTCAAGTTTGTATTTCTCTCATGGATGGAACCAATAAACTCAAGCTCTTTGGAACGTAATCCAGAAAAATACTGCACCAAAGAGTCTAATGTACCAGTTTAAATATAAATTTAAAGAGTACTTGATTGCATATGAGTCGATCAGATTTGAACATTGGGAATCGCTTCATTACCTGTTGTGTCAGTAATACAATATGCATATCGAATAATAATTAAAAAATTAAGTTGAAAATAGATGATGTGTAATATTTCTCTTGAAAAACTACACCTTACTGCTACATGTACATAAAGTCCCTAATATCTGTACTTATCAAAATTAACAGAGAAAGAGAGAGAGAGAGTACCTTATGAACACCCTTATAGACATGGGAGAATGCCCCCGTCCCTATACGGTCCCTGGTTCTGTAGATATAATCATGTGTTGTACAGATCTGACGATTGTCACCCATCTCTGTATGTCAAACCTGTAAAAAAGGGAAACTCCAGTTTTTCTATTACTTTTTACAATCTAAAACTACATCTGTAGATGTTAAGATCACTAGCTACGTAAAGGAAGTTTTAATTTTAACATATACATTACTTTTGACAAACATGAAATTTGTTCCGTATCATAAACATTAATTATTGAGGTTTCCAATAGAACTAAGTTTATTTCTATTTATTCATTAGCTTTTCAATAGAACTGAACGTATATACTCCTATTCATTTTATTATGTTCATTCAAACAGGGAAATGCATATAATTTTGAGATAAGTGTTACCTGTTGAAATGAATAAGCATTTTTCCTGTAATATGATGAGGAAAAAACAATGGTGTACATGTACCTTGATCAACACATCAAAACTGGCAACAAATTAAATCTTTAGTTACTTTAAAACGCTCAGAATTTACTATCTGTATATTGTGTCTGTAATTTTTTTTTTTGTAACAGGAGTTTCATTTCATTACATTTACCCTTTGCCCTGGCAGTAATTCAATTAGAAGATTGTCTTGAAAAACAAAGACTGGAGCTGATATATTTCATGGCTTCCTCAGATAAATAATTAAAAGTTAATTTAATTTGAATAAAAGGAACCTGAGAACAATTTCTAGGGGTTGAATGTAAAGTGAATCTAAAGCATCTTAAAATGCAAAGGGCAATCTTTAAAATTTAAACGACATTTCACAATACACATAGGCTTTTGTATATATACAATGTAGTTTTATTTCTATCTAACCTACAAAAACACTTAAAATCACAAATAGTGCATATGTTAAGAGATCTGCAAGCGTTCATGGAACAGTACATTACTGAAAATTATTTAATAATATCAAAATGAATGTTGAAATATATTAAAATTTATACGAGTTTCACCGACTTTACAAATTTTAAGCAAACAAACCCTACCTGACATTGAGATGATAACCTGACTTGAGTGGAACATTGAACGACGGGGAAAACCAGAGTTATTTAAAGAGTCATTTAATTATGTGTATTAGGTTTTCCCTGTTTCTATATTGTCAATGCATCAGTATGCTGAATAGAAATTTAAATGTCATTTCTTAATAAAAGGCACCCTAATGATACAGCAGATTGTCTTGTAACTGAATCATTGTATTTATTAATTCCATGATAGGCATAGGGTTAACCTAACATACAGAAACTAAGTGAAAGTACATGTAGCCTATTTTCCTAAGAGATGTACTGCATTGCTAAATTCATTTTTTTCTCATTGATTTTCCGCCAACAATCGATGAAAATATTGCAATTTGTTTTCTTTATCAAGTTAATAAAACATTTCATTGTTGCCCGTAAAAAGTAGTTAAAAATCTCTTATTAACCACTCAGCGACTGTAAATGTACATGTAAATCCATATACTAGTATTCTAACAACAAAAATCTCCCAGAATTTATATGCAGATACATCTGATGCACGATACCTTGGTTGAAATTTTTATCATTGGGTATGATTAAAATCTTCGGTTGTTATATTGAATGATTTTAAAAATCATCAAATATTATGAAAATACATAACATGTTAACATAATAATTTGAAAGGAACTGGTCTAAAAAGTACAAAGCAATTTTTATTCCTACCTGATAAAATGTTGGTATCCAAAAATATACAATTCTTCCTGGTATATGGATATACAAATACATAATCGCAAAGCGAGGTCTTTAAATGCTCATTTAAACTTATGAATGTCAAATGTACAAAGTCATGGTTATAGTGCCGACGGAATAGTGTTTTATCCAACCAATTCAACTATGTAACTATGTATACAAGACAGCGAGTATTTAAATCACGTTATACCGAAAATGAAAGTCACAAAAATCATTGACTCTTCCGAGAAATACTGGAATCAACACAGCCATATTTTTACAAAATCGTATACAATAACTGTACTGTCTTAAATTAACAGCTTTGAAAAACAGCAACTGTGACTTAAATTAACCCAGTCTTTGATAGGTGACAATGGCGTATATCAGGCTTTCCAACTGTTCAGAGAAATACTTTTTTCCCACTTTGTATTTGATGTCGCCATTTCTTGTACATTGACTTGCAAGGACTGTACGCATGTCAGATATAATTATAATTTCGTCTCATAAATTATGACGTCAGATTTATATACATTAATTTACGTATCCAATTATTGTTATTTTAGTTCAAGTCATACCTAAATATATGAACCGCCTTCAGTTCAAGTGACCAAGAGAAATATCTGCTTTCTATTTCTACAGTGAACTCTTTTTTTGTTCTGAATTCGAAATGACATATACTTAGAAGTTCTTTTGATAAAGGTTACATTTTATAAATTTTACAGATAGCTAGAGTTTACGATACTGTATCGAAGGAAAATTCCTCTGTTTTCAAAAATGGCAATGTATCCCTTAAATAGTTCTTTATTTCCTTCACTGATCAACAAAATTCAATAATGTGAAATGGGAAATTAATATACTACATGTACATGTAGTAATGTTTAAAAGTCCAATTAAACAAATTGAATACAAATTGCGATCAGGGCAAACCGGGAGCCCTGAAAACATCAGAGGTGGGATCAGGTGCAATGCAGGAGTAAACATTCCCTATCAAATGATAATACCTACCACAAGCCTCTTGTCATGACCAGGTGAAGAGAATATATAATCCTTAAGAAATTTTCTATAAAAAAAAGGGCATTAAATTTGTAATAAAATTTCACTAACGGCGGAAGGTTTTGTATCCGCTTGTAAATTTGCAAAGTGTTTTAAAATGAGGTTGTGAATATCTTTGTATCATCAATTTATCTGTTAGTACCTTACCTCATTTTAGAAATTGTTTAAAAATAAAGAACATGCTCTTATGTTCCGATTCAACTGGGAGACATACTAGTTAACACCATATGAAGATGATAATAATATATTGATAAGTAAATAAAGGATGCTGAAGAATAGAAAAACTGAAGTTATCACGTTATAAAAGTTATATATAGAAAATTGAAGTGACTTTGTGTTGTCTCGGATTTTTGCAGTTTCAAAAGTGGTCAAATATTTGAAGTTTAGCAAACATCCAATTTTCTTATCTGATAACAAACATAAGATAACAATGGGCCTCTATGCTCATATATATATGTGTCATAGACTTAAATTTAAAAAAAAATCAATCAACTGTAAGATGTTTATTAATAATGAAACGGACCCATAAAATAGACGATAACAGACAGCTTGGTGATGCAATATTGAACAACACTTTTATTTAAGACTGTTGGACTGGATATATAAATAGATTTTAAACTTAAACTAAAGTTGTGTCATGATCCTTGCATCAGATTTCCTTTGAGTTCTGAAGAATAGTTGTGTACATTAAGTAAATGGTACTTATCAACCTCACGCACATGATTTTAACAGTTTTGATTTACAATCATTTGATCCTGAATATCAAGTTTGAAGTTTGTATCATTGTGATTGATAGATTGTATGTTGTTTAAGAGAATTTTTCACTCATAGAGAGATGTCACCATATACCGGTGAAGGGCTTAAAAATTTAGACCTATACTCGGCACTCTCGGCCATTGAGCAGTGAGGGTTCTTTATCGTGCTAACGCCTTTCATGACACGGGACCGCGATTTTTTTAAGGTCTCATCCGAAAGACCCGTGACTTTCACTTCTAATTCCGGGTGCTTGGCGAAGAAACAGTCATTACCTATGTCTTAGTTTATGTCTTAGGTTCCATGAACCCTATGTATTGACTAGGTAAATGGTGAAAACTCCGTAGTCAAAATTACATGTAGTACTAAAAGAATGGCCAAAGAGTTGACATGAATGTCAGTCAGCACACGACCTAATGTAAGGTTGTGTATACAAACATGGTCAATTTTTTTTCTGCCCTACCCTAACCCTAGGAATAAACAAAATATGGAGCAGTTTAATTGTTGACTTACTGTAGCACTTCTTCTCTGAAGAGATTATAAGAGATTCTCCTACAAAAATATTTTAACAAGAAATAATACTTTATTCATACAGAAAATTTTAATTGTGAATTGATCACCAGTGCTAAAATGCTTGATCACAGCTCTTCAGATTTTAAAGCTTGTACTGCTGATTTCCCAAATATTGTAATGCAATAATGTAATAATTAAATATAATAATTAATACTGACGAAAGAAAACAGGATCTTGACTATAACTCCAATATTTCTTACGAGTGTTTGGCCTTTTCCCAAACTTAGTTTTATTTTCTATTTCTTTTCTCCGATTTTTACATTGTACGTAGTTTTTCGTATTCATGTTGAGGTAACTGTGTACGGTCAATTATTCATCACATTTTTTATAAGACTGTTTGCATTCAAAAAGCATTTCATGACAAGGAATTGGAATACACCAATGAAAAGTAAACTGAATTCAGGCTAATTTCTATATTCAGATTATCTTCTACAACTGGGTGGCAATGATAAGTTACTTGCAATATTCACTTTCAGAAATCACCTATACATAGTTATCATATGTACGAAAGTAAGATAATCGTGAACAAGAAATTGATCAACATATTAGGCACATGTATATTAACATTCCCATGCATTACCATGAAATTGAAATCTGAGGTTATCAAACTCAAATAACAGGCAGGAAAAATTGCATGTGTTACTTAGAATATGAAAAACACGGTCTACTCACCACACTATATCATATGAGTAAAAATTTTTTTATAAATGTTTTGTGTTGTTTGAAAAATGAAAAGAACCGGTAGTTTTTGTAAAAAGAATTCTTTTTACAGTTCTTAATTATACGTAATGTCTTACCTAAGAAAACCTCGTCCTCTTTCTAAGCAATAGGACTACAAGCAGACTAGGCAGATTAAATATGTAGTACATTAAATTACTTGCATGACATTTTTTAGTATTCTTGTCATGATTTTAGGCCTCACTAATATGCCTGTTTGTAAATCAATAGGAAACCTTATTTTGCGCTACCTTGTCCAAATGACCATATTTGAGGA